TATGTCCTGCTCTGCCTCTCCGCCAACCAGCGCCGGGCAGGAGACGGGTCTCCTCCCAGTTGCAGAAGAGTGTTCCCTGCATGGCAGGAGGGTGCTCCTGCTGTGCAGGGAAGTGCTCTTCCACAGCCAGGAGACCCACACCTACCTGCCGGTTGGCTGAGAGGCGGGTTAGGACATGCCTCTTCCAGCAGCCGTGGCAAGAGCGGTGTACCCCAGCCCCCGTTCCCAGAGCCACTGTGGCCAGCAGCCAGAGGTCTGCAGCCCATTGGGAACTCCCTGCATGGCAGGAGGGTGCTCCTGCTGTGCAGGGAAGTGCTCTTCCACAGCCAGGAGACCCACACCTACCTGCCGGTTGGCTGAGAGGCGGGTTAGGACATGCCTCTTCCAGCAGCCGTGGCAAGAGCGGTGTACCCCAGCCCCCGTTCCCAGAGCCACTGTGGCCAGCAGCCAGAGGTCTGCAGCCCATTGGGAACCACTGCCCTAGGTTATAGCACAACCCCTTTCCCCTACATCCTAGTCCCCTTCCCCAGGTCACAACACCCTCTTGCCCAAGGTCACAACTCAAACCTCTGCATTCTAGTCCCCTACCACCCAGGTCACAACTGCCTCCTTCCCCCAAACTCCCTCCTAGAACCCACACCCTCTCCTGCACCCCAATCCCTTATTGAAAGCTCCCTTCTGCACCCAACCTCCATCCCAGACCCAGCACCTCCTCCATTAATATGAGTGTGTGGCCCCTGACCACTTTCCAAATTCTTAGAGTGAGTCCCATAAAAAAACTATTGTCCACCCCTGTGTTTGACCATCCTGCCTTAGGGGGTTAGTGTGGCACTCTCTGGAGTCCTGTCAAAATGACTTATGGGTTGGATATGAAAGTTGTTGCGGCACTGCATTCACCAAAAGGCAAGCATGCGATCTCTTCAACTCATATCCTTTCTTGACTAGAATAAATGTAATTTTCAAATTCTGACCCACTGTCTTGAATCATGTGGGCTACTGTGATATTACCATGCCAGCCCATTATAAAATAAATTAATAAGCATATTACAGACAGCTTGCATTTTGCTTGCTAAAATTCCTACAAAAATCCCTGTGGGCTCTACATAGTTTACATTGCAACATATTTTCTTCATCATATTCAGTTTCTTTAGTACCTCAGATTCTGCTGTCAAGCTTTTCCCATGCAGTTCATTCACAATACATCATGGGACTAGATCAGTGATTTAAAGCTGCAAACCTTCCTCAGCGTGCGTAGTCTTGCCCTTTGTGACAGGTCTGAATGAATGTTCTCAAAACAATTTAAGAGTACATAGATTCTTAACTAAAACAAGGTTGAGCAGAGTGAGTGTGAGAAAATTGCAAGTCAATGGAATGAAAACGTATCTAGCCTTAGACTGTTGAAAGCTAATCTAGGTGAGTTACAAATGTAGGCCCTGATCCTTTAAAATGAATCCCTGAAGTTAGGCTTTATCTAGGCTCCAGGGACCTTTCATTTGCAGGACTGGGACCTTTTAGGTTAAAGACTTACATATTCCTATAGGAATGGGCGTTAGGTTTTGTCTAAAGTGGGAAAAAGTTCCCCTGGAATTCCCACTGGTTCTGTCACTGGCTCATCTCAACAAGTGTTAAAATCAGTGGGAACCATTGCTTGGACAAGTCTCCAAGTTGGAGTCATTTTCACCACTGTTTCAGTTAGAGTGTATTTAATTAAAATTGTGATTAAAAACTGTTTAGCTGCCAAAACCTTGTCTACGCTCCAGCTCCCATTGGTTTTAACACTAGTTCAGCTGAATTATTGTAGTGAATCTTTTTGTCTGTTTCCTCAGTGTTGACATAGCTCTAGAGTTCAAGTATTTCTGTCCATTTTCTCAGGTACTTTTGTTCACTCCATTGTTAGTTTTGCTCACAGTTTGAGCCCTGGTGCCAGTGCAACTTCCACATGACAACTGTGTTTGCCAGCTAATACTAATCATGCTAAGAATTGAAAACCCTTTGCCTCTCACTTTGCGTGCTTCCTAAAGGTATGTCTATTTAGGGATAAAATCTCTGTGTGGCTGGCTTTGTGGGTCAGCTTACTTGGGCCTGCAGGGCTTGGGCTGTAGGGCTAAAAATTGTAGTGTAAATGTTAAGGCTTAGCCTCAGACCTTCCATGCTCATAGGGACCAGCCCAGGCTAGAAAACTTACACAGTGATTTTTCCATCGTTGGAGCTGGAGCCCTGCTAGTCTCAGTAAACAGACCCAGACCTGCTGTGTGTGTGGATTTTTTTTTTTGTAATTTCTCGGTAGACATATACCCTAAGTTACAGGAAAAACAGAAGTGCTGTGGGGTTTGTCTTAGGAGTTAAATCTGGGCTCAGGGGCAGATGCACATTTCAAAGTTTAGAGACCCATATCAGAAAATGTGTTGCTAGACACACTCTCCTGATTAAATGGATTCAACTCAAGTGTGTCCATGGAGATGTGCACTCTTGTTGTAGCTGTGTTGATCCCAGGATACTAGAGACAACATGGTTGTGATAATATCTCTTATTGGACTAACTTCTGGTGGTGAGAGAGATGAGCATATAAAGCTTACACGGAGTTGTTTTTCAGCTCTAAGAACCCTCAGAGTCTCAGCGGAATTTGAGTTGAACAGATGTTTACCATGAGTAGTTAGCTCACAGTTCAAGAGACCATTCAAGTGAGGTGGCCTGATAGTTCCTTGTAGTCATAGAGGGGAAAGGCAGAAAAAAGAGAGGCTCGTGAGGGGAAGTGTGGAATGGGTTATAGATTGTTGTAATAAAGTGATAAATCCAGGTTCTTTATTTAGTCCATGATTTTTAGTATCTAACATGTTCAGAATTTAAGGTCCAGGGCTCATCTTTTGAAGTCATTGTGCAGGTTTTCTTTGAAGATGAGGTCTTGAGCAGATAGATGTAGAGTGATCGCTTTGTGAAAAGTGATCATCCACAGCTGGTATGGTGTTTGTCGCTTATTAGTTATCTGTGTGAGTTCATTAAAGGGCAGAGTGAACCTCTTACTACCACTAGGGATGTCTTGGTATCAGAGGCAGCAAGGGGGCAGGAGCAGAAGTCAGTGTTGCAGGGAGCTGGCTTACAAGCCGGTTCCCTCCAGCACTGGCTCCATGGTGCCACCTAACCCTCTCCTCTGTGGGGAGGCTGCTTCATAGCAGCCTCTATCTGTGGCGAGTCTGAACCCACTGTGGGCAGACACTACTTCACGACAGCAGCCCTTGTCCATAGTGGGGGTCTGCGTGCCCTGCAGATAGAGGCTGCTCTGCATCCTACAGAGCGGCCTCTGTTCATGGTGACTCTGGGCCCGCTGCAGGCAGTGGCTGGTCTTTGGGGTCCCAGCTCCCCATAGAGAGTGGCTGCTCCGCATCTGTCCCCAGGGAATTTGGGCCATCCACAAACAGGAGCTGCTGCCATGCTGCGCTGCTTCCTCTGTATCAAAGGCAGTAGCACGGGGCAGCAGTCAGCCAGTCTGCGAAGGGAGCTGGTTTTTAAACTCTCTCTCCTCATGGACTGGCTCCCCCTGTCACCTGTGCTACTGCCTGTGATACAGAGGCAGCAGAGCAGAGACGCAGGGAGTGGGCTGGGAGTGCACTGGCTGCTGGTCCCACCGCTGGAGACTACTGAATACTTGAGTAATAGCAAATATATCATGCAGTTACATGACTATTCAGTTACCCGATATCTAACATCCCTAGCTGCCATGTAGCTGTTATTGGAGTATGCAGTGCACTGCACGAGTTACACCACGTGTTGTGATAGGCACATTTAGGACTCCTGGATCTTGAAGTGTGTTGTGGGGGATGCTGATCATCAAAGCAGTGGAAATAGCTCTACAAAGCTTTTGCATCTGTTGTTTTGGTGTGGTCTGGTGCCACTTTAGTTGGTGTGTCCTGTTCTGTGAAGGGATTGCTTCTGATTATGAGGCTGGAGGCAAGGGGGTTATTTGAGGAAAAGTGGGAGTTCAGACGATATTTCATTGAAAATGGCATCTCCATCAAGTATGAGTTTTAAGTGTTTGATACTCCATAGCGTGGGTTCCAATGTGGGATGATAAGGGATAACTAAGGCTACGATTTAGTCTCAGATAATTTCAGTAACAGTCATGGACAGATTATGGGCAATAAACAAAAATTAACAGCCATGACCTGTCCAAGAATTATACTTTAAATACCCTAACTAAATCTTGAGGGATTGCTGCTGAGGGGGAGAGGAGGTGGGCTAGGGCCAGTGGCTGCTTTGGTTGTCCTAGGACCACTACCTAAAGCTGCTCAAACAGTGGCCTGTGAAGCTGGCTGGGGTGTCAGCTGCAGAGCTGTTCCAGCAGCAGCCCATATGGCTGGCACTAGTGGCCCTTGCGGACCCAGCTCTGGAGCCC